CGGGTATTGGTCTAAGATCATCTTCCTGTGTGGTAACCAGGCGTCATAGTTCCCTCAACAAGTCACTAGTATTAGTAAAGTAGATAGTGACAGTTTCATCAATAGATCTGTAATTAGCCTAGAACTGGTGATTGACATCATCAATCTTAAGTACTGTTGATTTGGCTCAGTTCAGATCCTTACTCAAAAATCTTGAAGTTGCCTTGAAAACCTTTTGCGTGGCAGACTGCTGTACCATCAAATTCATGTGCTGCAAATTCCAGATTTTTAAGACAAAAAGTGTACTTGGTTCAGAAGAGTTTAATATAATGTCTTAATGTTAATATTTGACACAAAATGTACTTTTTGCCTGGGTTGGCAGGTGGGTGCAGATGTGTCTTCATTTAGAAACTGAAATGGAATATTTTGATTAGTGCAGACTAACTTCAGTCAATATTAATTTTGACAGAGTGACTTGTAATAACTTTTCAAAAGTTAGTTTTTAGGTGATACCAAGTATGTTTTTTCATCTGTTAGAAATGTTTTTTAGTTAAATCATCATTGATTTGGAAGAGTTTTGCTGGGTTCAGTTTGATTCCTTATTGAAAATATTTTGCCAATTCATTTTACTTCATGAAAATTTAATGCATGTTTAATGTGATTTAAATTGTTCTTGTTTGCAACCAATCAAAACAGCTGCAGTGTGGAATGTTTTCCTTTCCATAAATAATGCTGTGGTATGTATAAGAAGATACCAATTTATGCAGTAATTTTTACTCAGTAAACTGTTAAGCTACAGTTCTGTCAGACAAAGGATCCAGATAAACAAATGTTGGATTTAAAACCGTTTGAAGTATTTTGACAGTTCAATAATTCAACCACAGAGGACCACAGATACGTTGGATTTTGGACTTGGAAATTGTATCCCCATATTAAATAAATTTATGGTTGGCATTGGTGCAAAATAGCTCATTCAAGTTCAAAAGGAGCAATGTAGTGACATGTAGGAAGTGTTTGTCAAGATCACATTTACCCAATTTGCTGGATTATGTTTGAAGACACAGTTCTGTGACAAGAAAAAAAAAAACTCCCAGACAACAAACTGCAGATTTGGTTATTGATGCAACAGGTTGCCAGTAAGTAGATTCAGATGAAAGATGACCAAATGAAGAGGAGTTTTAGTTTCACAGAATTCATAGCAACAATTTAGTATTCAAGGAAAAATTAAATCACCATCTTGATTAAGATCAGAAGACATTCATCATTGTCATATTTGCTCAATTCAATCAGGCAACCAATCTTTCACTAATTCGCTTCATGAAAAATCTTCAGTGAGTCAGAAAAACAATCCTTCTATGAGCTTACCTCTTGTGACAAGAAGTGTCAATTTTATGTAAATTTTGTCGCGTCTGTTGTAATGATTCTTAAACACCGAGTTTCTTTGTCGTTAGTAACTTCCCCTGGATTAAGTTCTTTGATTCATGAATAATAATCCGTGGAGTAAGTTATTGCGAGACTCCTGTCTGATTTTCCTGCGTAGCATTTCTATTCTAAGGATTTTAGGATTTGTTGATTGATATAAGGTCGTGACTTTTGCACCAATTGTGGTTTTTAATATTTATATATGATTGATACAGTTTTGCATAATCTTACTAGTCACTTCCCATATCTGGTCGTCGAATAAGACAAGAATTCTTCAGGTAAAACTGTCAGTACGATTATTTAGCCTGACCTTGGTGCTGTGAATGAACATTACGGTAATTAATGTGAAGAGTACGAAATCAATTAACCAATTTCAAGATGAGGATACCAAAGAAGAAAGCTATGACTTTGGGACGATTAACAGGTAAAAAAAGAACTTTATTATTATCTATATAAAGAAATAATGATTTGGTTTTTTTTTTGTTTTTTTTTTTGTTAAGAATTGGATTATTTGATAAAATTAGTACTATATACATTCATTTACATGACCTGAAAGTTAACGTTTTCATCTTTCATGGATTTTTACGACTATAATTTTCATGATCAGAGAGGCCAAATAATAATTTTTGATTAAATATAAAATGCATTAAAATAATGGAAATGCAGAGATTTTATTGCTGATAATTAACCAAATAAGTTTTTGGTTATTGCATTATAAAAACATTAATTTATAGAGGCCTAATAGGGTTAATATAAAAAAAAAAAGATTTTAATAAAATGTTCTTTTCTGTAATTTACATTGTTAAATAATGATATTAATGTGATTAGTTGGTTTTCAATTCTAATAAATTGCCATTAAAAGGGTAGCGGGGTTTGATGCAGTTTTATCATTCTGTATTTTGTTTCTGGTTGACAGCCTCGGTATGTTGTTGCCAGGTAGAGCAATCTCGGGCTTTTTCGTACCAAGTAGCTCTTCCCCAGTTGATCTTGTGTTGTTTTGAGATCGGGAAACCAAACAGATGTATCCCAGCTTATGATACTGTCAGCAGGCTACTTCATATTTTGCTGACATAATTAGGAGCATTTTTTTTTTCTATCAGTGATAGTAATATATGTTGCTAGGAATCTAAATTTATAGAGGTATAAATGGTTCTTAACCTTTTAACTTCCCCTTTCATACAAGAACTTTCCTTTTGTTTTGGATAACAACTTGGAACATTGATTTAATTTGAAGGTATAGTCATGATTTAGCATTATATTTCCAACACGGACATGCTCTTACAGTAGTTGTTAAAGGCTATTGAAACATTTCCTATACTGAAGGGTCTCTATTATTACACATGGAAATTTCTTACCACAAGGTATAGTAAGTATTGTAAGACCAAATAAAACAATATACTGGATCCTTATCCATAAATGTTTTATTTTTCCTGTTATGTCAAAACATTTTTTTTTCAAACAATAAAAATATTGTATTTAAAAGAATGACAAAATTAAAGTTATTTTCATATTATGTAATCTGTTTAATCATCATATTCACTTTTGCAGTCTGACTCAAAAACAGGTCAAATTCACTTTTAAACTACATTTAACATGCTGCAATGGAAAGATATGTTTGTAACATACGATGGATCGTCCTGATGAATTACGTGTGAGCATCTGGCAATAGTCATGTATTGTAGGACAATAGGCCTACATTGTAGATATACATCTATAGAATATTCTGAAACATCAGTTTTTGTCTTCATTGTGACATGTTTTGGAAATATTATTTCAAACCTTGTTAAAAATAATATAGGTGTCACATCACAAACCTCTCTTTTCAAGTGAACACCCTTGTCTATTCTCATGCATGACAGTTTTCGGCAGTTTCTGGTAATTGGACAATACATACAGTAGTTTCTTGTTTACCATGAGGTCTATTGTAAGAAAGAACAATTTCATGCTTACGGAGATTGTTATGATAATATATCTTCTGAAATATTCATAATATATTGTTTTTAAGGTTCCTTAAAAAGGATTAGAATGAGAAAGTACTTTAGTTGTTTTTTGACTTGGCCTAATATGTTGGCAATGTGTTGCAATTATTTAATTGTATAATAAAGTAATAAAAATCACATGTTTAATAAAGTATTACAACCACTCCCAATTATCACTCACCAATACTTAACCTCAGCTTAGGAATGATGATATCATAATCAAATGATTTTATGAGTTTACAAAATTGCCTAGGATATTAAAATGTCAAATTCAATATTATTTCAGACCCTATTTTAAGGAATGTGTTAACCATTATATCCTGACTTTAATTCATCACATTTGATTTTAATTGCTAAACTATAGACTGCCCTCTATAGAGATTGTTGTATTCTATGACCTTATGAGAAATTTGTTTAATCTAGATTAAATTGAAATAGTTTGGGTAGCTATATATTTATCTCAATAAATATGAGGTAGACTGTTCTTACCAACTAACAAACTTGCATAAAAAAAACCATTAATTTTTTATTCAAGTTGTAAACCTTCTCTGGTGGCACCTTCTGTACCTGTACGAGCTTATAGGATTTAAAAAAATAAATTGTTATTCAGTGGAGTGTTTTCAACCTTACCTTTAGATCTACTGTTGAAATTTATTTTGGTGTAGTATATAATTTATGCATGGTTAGCAGAAATTTGTAAGATTGATTTGGAAAATCAGTATGTTAGAATTAATTACCTTCAATACTGGTAGGTATAAATGAGTATATTAATATTAAACATTAAGATATATAGCTGATACAATAAAACTCATTAAATTAATTTAAGAAATAGAATATAGGACTATATTATCAGTAAAATGCACAGAATGTTCATTTGAAAAGAATTTTCAAATGCATGTTATAAAGTTAGACTTTGGTTGAAACTCAACCTTGGATTTTATCTCTGCAACTTGTCAGATTCAGATGGGAAGCAAGTACTAATTAATGTGCTGAATGTGATGACTGTCCCCACCCCTTCTGTCTCTACATATCCAATTTAGCGGATGACTAATGTCTATGTTTCAAGGACAAGAAGGCTGCTGCCCTCTATTGACAGATTACTTTCATACTTCTATCATAGATAGGTTATATTCTTCATTTAATATTATCATAGATTTTGTTTTGTCTTTCATTTCATTTTTTTAAAATTAATTCAACATTTATAAACAAGCATGTAAAGTAAATAAATCAAAGTTACACTGATATATAAAAACGATCAAGGGATAACAAAGAAACTCTTATTATGATCCGTCACTGACAGCAACTACAACATTAAAACTGAAAATAAACCAGAAAATTTACACTCCTTCGTAAAAATAAGATCTTTCATATTTATATATTCTGTCTGTTGAACTAAGTTATTTGTTTAAAATTTAGAAAATAGTTTTCTTACTAGTTATTTAACACAAATAATATTAATTTTCTTTCATTTGCGTTGACCTATATGAATGTTAATTTAAAGATCTTCATAGTATAAATTTATTATATCAGGAAAAACGTATTTCTTTTGATTTGTGTTTCATTGGATTTTTAAACATTTATTTGAATCTTATAAATGAGTTCTTTAATTTAATTTTTTAGGTTTTCTATATTTTACCAGATGTGTTTTTAGTACTAAGTATTTTGAAGACCAAAAATATTGTAAGTAAAAGTAGTGCTACTATACTACAAGTTTAATAATGTAATATGCAAGTTAATATAAGGATGAATAAGATGAGCTTGGTGTTCTGATAAGAAATTATTAATTATTATAGGAAAACAATTCATTTATAACATTCTCTGTCTTCAAGGACTATGCATATTCAATTCATATAGAAGTCACTTGCTCTAATTCTTCGTCCTTATCATTCCCCAACCACATTATACAGGATAAATGCTTAAGATTTACATAAAATGTTAATATTCATCACTTATGGCAATAATTAAAAAGAATTTCCTTTGGAGAAATTATAATTATGACTAAAAACCCTTCAGGAGAATAAACTCAAATTATATCATTTTGATCTACAATTTGTCTAATTGCTCTCTTATAAAAACTGTATTTTTGGCATTTCCCCAATCTGTCCCCAGCAGTAAAACATTTATGTTAATTGCATGACTTAAAAAGTAATGTATTACAAGAAGATGACAAGTGCTTTGAGGTTTAAACTTAAAGTTGTTTATGTTTGAGGCCAAGCCATATAGCTTTATTGGCCAAGTAAGGATCAACCGCTAATATATGATACAAGTTGATAGGCGGATTAGTTATTAATTTGGAGATTGGGGTTATAACTTGTGGGAGTTGTTGATACTTATTAGGCTCATTTAAGATTCCTTACAAATTGTCAAATAATTAGATGACAGTTTTTTCTTCAGCGTAGCATTTGAAGGGTTAGATTAAATTTTATTCGGAATCGCTTTAGCATCAGCAGCAGACATCAATTTGATGGCGCATCATATTATAAAGTAAATATATAAGGATTAGTATATAGTATTGATTTGTTGTTGGTTCATTTTTGGCATATATAAGAATGACAACATCATAAAGTTAATAATGAAATATTCTTTTGTAATTTTGTTAATATTGATTGTTTAACAGTTTTTGTAAAAGATTACAATATTATTTAACTTTTTATTTTAAAGCCTGATTATTTTTCATATGCTTTTACAACTATGAAGTTAACAAATTCATACAGTAATGTATTTCAAAAATGTATATACTAACCTAGCTATTATATGATAACAATATTATGTTTGTGTTTTTGTTTTCATTTTTGATTGACCTCAAATGTCTGCCGGTAAGGTCACCACTTTATTTCCTGTTATTATTTTTTCAGAATACTTTTTGAGTTCAGAGGATGCATATTGTTGATGAATATCAGGAAGACGTAACAGTACTATTCATAAAAAATTAATAAAAAGAAAACACACTGACATTTCTATTCATATACTAATCAAAATAAACACCATAATTTTGTAATCCTTTAATTCCTGTAAGTCATAATAAATCATCTTAGAATGCATTTTGGTGCTTATAAATTCACGCTTAGAGCAATTAAGCAAGTAAGAGGATGTTTGAAGGAGTTCTAGATGCTATGAGACTGGGACTGGTTCATAACAGGTGTAAACACTTTCCTTGATTGATTCACACATTAGGCCATTTATAGTGAATTATCAATTCTGATTAAAAATATATGGCTTTATTTTGAAAAAGTTCAGTGTTACTTAGATAGTGCTATATATTGGTTGATAACACTTCAATTTTATGATAAAGAGTAATCTTTTTATATCTTAATATTAAATTAATTTTCCTCATCTACTGTATTAGTAATAATATCTGAAATAATGTGTGTATGTATATATTACGATAAAATTAAAATGCTATCTTCGACAATATTATTATTAATAGTGATTGCTATAAATTCTTTAAAATACTGTCATGGCAGTGGCGGCGCCAGCAGTGTGGCAGGGGGCTTAAGCCCCCACCGAACAGGTCAAGCCCCCCCGCCAGACAGAGCTCGTCGGGCAGTCAGACTATAAAACATATAAAAATAGGCCCACAACAACACGTTTGTCACAGTCTGAGAGTGCCATTATCGGCCATCTAGAGGTTGATATTCTTTAAAAAAAATTTCATTTGGGAGGGAAACCCCCCTCCCAACCCCTTCTCCCAGCTTGAGCCTACGAGCTCAAGTCCCCCTGTCAGACAACATAGCCCCCCCAAAATATATCCTAGAGCCGCCACTGTGTCATGGTGGTATGGATAGTGGTCACTTAGGGTGAAAATAAATGCTTCTTGGTATCAGTAGCATGCTTGGGCCAAATAAAATTAATTGCTAGTTCTACATCCTCACCCTCATTGAATTTTGCAGCTTCATGAAAAAATTCACTATTTGCTATTTAAAAAAAAAGAATCATTTTTATATAAAAAAAATCTGAATCTGAAGAATTGTTGTCAAGCCTATGAAGAGGTAGAAACATAAATGGTAGAATACATTACAAATATCCATTTCACTTTTATAAAAAATTAATTAGTATTAGTAGTAAATAGCAAATACCCTCACAAAAAATTAATTTCAAATTTTTGTCGCGAAACTAACAATTTTATTTGGCTTCGTCAGAACTCTTAATATTTTATAATAGTATGGTCAAAGAGTGTATGAATAGTTTTGTTCAAATTTTATCATGTAAAAATAGACAAGTTTATATTTAAAATTATACCATCTATTAACAAATTTACTCACTTAAATATACCAAGTATTTAAATATTGAATTTTATATTTTCAAGGTTTTAGCTGATTAGACCTTGTTGTTTTCGGTCATAAAATTAGTACACAAGGAAAATGAGTTGAGTTCTACTTGACAGAACGACTATGAATACCGGTATATCTTTGCTGAGGATCTGCTTCCTTGTTGCTTCACTTATGTCTGGGGATAAAGAGATTATGATCTTTTCCTCAATAGAGCTATTTTGATACTAAACAGATTAAAAATATTATAGCTAGGACTAAGGTATGTTTAGTTAAAATTGAATAAGGAAATAGGTAATTAATTAAAAAAAATTAATATTAAATATTTAAAAAAATTAAAAAATTATAATCTAAAATTTTAATATGGTAGAAGATATGTTGTGGTTGACATGTTCTTCCAGTTGGTTGTCTCTGCTTATGTTTACATAACTTAAGATGAACAACTGGTAGAATGCACCGACAACAAAATGTCCTTCCTACTGTGTTCTAGTCCTGAATATACTGTATCATAAATTATAACTCATTTTCTCCTTGTCTCAGTTCATAGTGTGAAAAGTCAGAGGTTCACTTTGGATCAGAAAATGTTTAGACCTCAACAATGAGGGGACGTCAGGCATACTGTTAATATGTAATTGTGAAAGTAAACAAAACGGTCGCAAAAAATAGTATTAGCATTATCATATATTAATGTTTACTTCATTTTTGCATTTTTTCTTTAAGTTTTTGCATTTAACCTAAAGATGAAAGTATAAACTAAACTTTACTTCTTTGATTTTGAGTTAGGTTTGAAAAAAAAAAAAAAAAAAAAGTTAATAAATCTAATATTGTAAATACCAGTACACAATACAGTAAGAAAAAGATAGACAGGAAACCAACATTTTTTAAAATTTTAACACATACTTACTTACTTACTTACTTGTAAAGATAATAAAACTTGATTGATTTCAGTGTTCTCCCTAGCATCATGGGTAAGCGTCATGGTGAGTGTTAAGTCCACCATAGTTGGGACTGACACAAGGTATTTTTAATAATTAGGAGGCATTGAAATGTCCTAAATTACACTTTAAGACTATATAAAAGCAGGGAACAGTTAAATAATTTAACTGTTCCCTGATAAAAGCATCATTGAAGATGTTCCAAGCATCATGGTCAACTGTCAAGCATCATGGGGAAAGTCCCAGGCATCATGGTACCTTGATGCTTCAAGGGTCTAGGGAGAACACCGGATTTCCCAATATCTATTTATTAACAACTGCGTATTTTGGGATAATAAACCCAATATTGCCATGGCAATTTCTGTTGTTAAACTACTAATTATCAATTAACGCTACGTTTAATTAACGTAAAGTACTTTTCAACTCACTTACCTGCTTATTGTGGGATAATTACTGTGCTATTGATGTGGTAAGTTTTGTTTTGAGACCACCAATTATTAATTATTGATGCATTTAATTAATGTACTTAACAACCCACTGATCCTAATTAGAATTAGTGTTTGCATGGCTTAGTATCGCAGTTGTTTAAAGGCAGATTTATGTACATTAGCAATGCTATAGTCAGCTACTGGTATAGTCCCACACAATTTTTCTATTGGGTCCACAAATAATGGGTCCACATTTTAAAAGTGGGTCCAGATTTCTCATATTCTGCGTTAAATTAGTCAATTTTTAAGAAAATGGGTCCAGATTATTCATATTTTTGCGTAAAATGGGACAAATTGTTTGAATTAATGCGTGTTACACAGTTTGTAAATCCTGAATACAGCATTGTACATTAGTACAGTCTGTATTGAGCTAAGAGCCTTAGACAATAAAATATGTGGCGTGGTCAAGTCAAATCAGTCGCTTGTCAGAAATTCGGATATTGAGATTATATAATATCATTATTTAGTAATATATTCGCTTTACAAAGGTGAAAAAATAAATGCAATCCAACTTTTCATTATAAAGTTATAGAAGTTAAAATATACCTACGTTTGGGAGAAACTGTAAACATGTTTTTGAGAAATTCACCTTCGAAGTTTACCGATGCGCTGAGACGCTGACAGCGCGGAGACATTCCTTGTTCCATGAGTATAGCTGAATACCTAACTTAGCAACAGGGGGATAGCGTTATACAGCATTCTTAAAATTTGGTCCAGTAAATATAAATACATTTTTCTAACAACACCCTGATTTTCCTTTGTACCCAAAGCAGGTTTGAAAGTTATTTGAGTTTGATTTCAATCAAAAACATTGGTGATACTTTCGTAATGCCGATCAACGATACTCGATAGGCAGTTTACACTAAGCTAAACCTAGACCTAACAACGGGAAGTTAGCGTTGCTAAAGGTTTTGAAATTACAAAATATTGTTGAATCATTGTTCTCTGATTTGTTGGTACTTATAAATAAATGAAAACTGTACAAAAATAAGAAAAATTAGACATAGCTTTGCTCCAATAACTCCATGTTTCGATTTTTCTGGGGCATTGTGGGATCGAATTGTAACTGTACGCATGCTCAGTTTTACGTCATTATGTGAGTGACCAATCACAGGCATTATTTCAGCGTCGTTGTCAAGGAAAAACGGATTTGTTTACACTATTCAAAATCGTTGTTATTGGTTGGATTGAAGTTGTATCATGGCAATTGACCAATGACATGAAAGCTTATAAAATTCCCTTTACATTGGTACCAAATATGGAGCAGTTCGCTTTCAAAATTAAGACGTGCATAGTGTCAGAAACGTGCAACTAAACTTGTAAAAAATGGACCAAGTTTTTGACATTTTACAGTGAGATACCCTCTGTAAATTGTATAAAAATGTTCTTTTACCGTTGAAAATTGGTAAAATGTTAATGTAGCATGGATCTGAGATGCCTTATTTTAAGTCATAAAATACATTTCGATTTTTTTGAAATTTTTAATGTAGGCTTGATTTTCTCCAGTTGACGATCGCCGACAAGCGACTGATTTGGATTGACCGCGCCACATATAATGTTTAAATTGCTTACATGTATCGGCCTAATTAGGTAAATTATTACCTTTTAGTATAATATAAGAAAATTTATTTCTAACCAATTAACAGGACGTCATTCCCATATCTTTGCCTATAGTGTCAAACTATTATTAAACATTTTTTCCTGATTTTACTATTTATAGCACATTGCTGCTTTATTTTATCTATTAATGTTTTTATTAATTTCTTATGGATTCATTCTGATTTATATTATTGATATCATATTATAGGTAGTTTTTATACCACGAAATTGAAATTCCTCCCAAAATGTAATTGTTTTAATTTTTAAATTTGAAAACTTATGCAGTATATACATAATATGCAAATAAACAGGATGAGAATATGTACATACATTGAATATGTGCAGAATATGCAAATGAGCTTGACATTTCACACGAAATGCAGCTCAACTTCCTAAGCTTCATAGAGACTTGCTTTGCATTAATCAATCATTAAATGATAAATTAAATAGTGAATTAAATTAACAGTTACTATATTAAAGAGAATTTCTACACCTCAATGGCATGGTATTAATTTAAGCTTCTAACCCTGAGATCCATTTTAAGCGTATGCTTTACATGATTTGGGTTAGGATCTGTAGGGACAATACCCATTGGAAAAATAGTCGCCAATATGTCGTCAGTGTTGGAAGTTTTCAAGAAGTTAAATTCGCGGGGAAATGAATCGTCTCCACTTAAGCTGCCAAGAGACCCCTTATCCTGCTACTTTTTTTTCTTGTCATTGATGGATATTTTAATTTACTATATGCAAAGGACATATTTCATTTCATTTATTTTCATTTGCAAATTACAAATTAGAGCGGATTAACAATTATTACCATTAGTAGACAAAATTGAAATCAAACAGTGAATTTAATCATTGTCTAAAAGCAATTTAATATTTATTCACTTTGACGAAAGCTAAAAAACCAGACTTATCAATAATAACATAATTTGTAATAGGCCTATTAAAAAACTTAAATTAGAAAAATCAAGTTTAAGTGTATTTTATGGAGAAAACTCA